ATTCAAAACTGAATACCTAAACAAGTAATGCATTTCATCAAATCAGAGCAATAAAAGATCACGTTCACAGGTGCTTAGGCAGAGGCATTTGAAAAAAAACTGCAAAAGCTGGAACATGCCGCATATGATACTTAAGAATTCGCACTCGCAAAGGAGGATTTACAAATCTCTCGAAAAAAAACATCAGCACGAAAAGAGGACAGAGCTACCTTTGCGGCTGCCGTGGCAACGAAACAGTCGTGCAATTCACCGAGAGCAACTTCACAGAGGCAAAGGAAGCTCCATGAGGCACCGATGAGGTCAAGCACTAACTCCAGCGGATTTGCTCCCAATGAGAGAGAAGGCGTGATGGGAGGCGTAATTCGTGGCCATTGTGCTCTACGAAGCAAAAAGGCAAAGCAGTGCACAAAAAAGAAAGTACTGATATTTGAGAAGTAGCAGTGGAAAGCATTCACAGAAAGCCAGCCAAAATTGTACAAGAAACGTGACAGAGCCTCATGCGAGCTGCTTCACACAAGACCTACAGTAAACGAGCAAAAGCTCCGATGCCCATCGGTTTCACCATTGAAGGAATAGAAAAAAAGAACGAAGCAATTCTCTATTCCTTAATCTCACTCAGTATTTGCCGTCACGGTCCCACTCTATACTGCCATAAGGAGAAACTGCCTTGCAAAAGCAATGCAGAACACTGCCAGAGAGGACACAATGCCAGGTCATGAAGCAGTAGTGGGGTGAAAAAACAAGGCCCACACATTCCCCTTTTTCTCCTTCCAAGCCGCTGCCGCCATGATGTACAAGAGAAATGCATTGCACATATACCAAGAGAAAATAGCTTAAGTTCTAAAGTCCATTGTTTTGATAATACAGAAAAGAGACGAAACCGTACAAAGTTGCTTCTGCCTCCCACCAAGTACCTGGCAACGAGGATTTACCCTACGCAAAAAGCAATGCAGTAAGGAAGGACTGCATAAAGAAACGACAAAGCATAGTGTTATTGCGTTGGAATAATGAAGAAAATAGTAATATTAATAATGGGATAACAAATCTCCAAATCAAATGCAATTGCAGTTAGAAGACATTGTAGATGAAGTTGAAACGAACAAACGTGTCAGAATTAAAGGTCAGTAAAATCATACGCACAGAAAACAAGGAAATAGACGAAATAAACTAAGAGAAGAAAGCGACCAAGTAACGGTACAGGTAAGCTCCAGTGAGAGAAAAAGATCGCTCCGCTCTGCTCCGTTTTGCTCTACCTCACACGTTGCCGCCGCCATGGCTTCCCATCACACTTGCAGCAACGCAAAAGCAGCATCGCAACACTTATCAGAGTGCTTGCAAATCGGTGTCTTAGTTAAGCCGTCTATGATAACCATCTTTCAGATCCTGCATTTACTTATGCTAGAGAGTTCCTCTGAATCCAAATGGCTTCGAACCTGAATGTTTCACTCACCGATACCAGAGATGGTAGTACCTCAGCTTAAAATGTGTTATCTTAGCTCATACACTTTGTTCACATCGATCAACAAGGAAATGAACATTTCTCCCCACGAGTTCGCTCAACCTTACATATTTCTTTGCATTTCCAATGGAAGTTAATAAATGTGTACGAAATTATGGACCAACAAAAAAATTAGTGACAAAATTACCGCGAAGTCATCACACCTTGGAAAGGGAGAGTTAGTGAAGAGGAATGGAGAGGGTGACAGATTTAGGCAGTCTTGGGCGGTTCCTCGTGGAATTGCTGCCAGAAGAAAAAGACCGACCATTTCAGTGCTTCATGCTACAGGCTTAGAGAATGTACCATAACCACCAGACAGTGTTCAAAGGCGTAAGCTCACCATGTCATCGATTCTAACTTGCGAATTGTTGCAAAAAATGGAAGTGATTACACTAGACACTAGAGACGACACTCAAAGGTTTGGTACGGACGCTGGGTAGGTGGATACACGCAAATCCAGGGCAGGCGCGTAGACCCCTATGCAGTGACGGCGGTGGCAACAGAACACCGTGTACCTCGTCAACTACCAATGGTGATTGCTTGCGACGGCGCAGGAGACAACGGAATTAGGCCAATAATCCAACGCCCAATATCACCAAAAAGGTGCCGAAGAGAGATCCAACTATCGTACCCCATAAGAGAGAGTCGCTACAACTGCGTACGAGGCATCGAGCTAAAACTTTCATCATTACGGCCGCCGTCGAGTAAGTAAATGAATGTTACAACAAAAAGAAAGCAGTCACCAACCACTGTGTTCCACTGTCACGACATGTATGACCATTGGCGCATTTCCCTTCATTCGATCTACCTTCCTTCTTTTAAAATATAGGCGTCACACATATGTGACGCTTGGGCTCAAGCAAAAAATCGTATTAAAATAGCAATGGTGGAAGTAGGAAGTTACGATCAACAAAAAAAGGCAAACAAAACCTTTCCCTGTCTACACCCAGCCACGTATTCTCTGACCTAGAAGCCTGAAACACGAAGAGGCCTGTCAGTGCGGCTGCATCATTCGAATGCAGCATTTGTGGTAACTTTTCACAGATCAAGAATTCTCGTGTTCAAAAGCAAATGCATTGTGCTAATCTTGTGCAATTCCACCAAGGACCGAATTATGCATGTATCATGCAAATTGTATGTTCACATATACAAAAGCACATTCTATGGGGTGGAAAACCACCACTACCAGAAATGCCAATAACAATTCGTCTTTAGCGATCGGCATCAAGACGTCGACATCACTTAAGTGATGGACCGGTGCAAGATTACGTGTCACATTGCTGGGTTGTGCTTGCAGTAGATATCCACTGGGTCGAATTTGATGTCTTCGTTGCCTGCCATCCTCTTTAGGAGCATCATCTGAATTCTGGGAGAATTCATGTGCACGGTACAAAATGAGGCCCCACAACTTACTCATGGCATCATTGCTGCTGATGCCGGTAACTGTAGCAGCAGGTAGCATATCTCATATTACATTTGCATGGGTCGACATCCACACCGATTACTCATGTAGGCACCCCCAATGTAGTCAAGTGGATCACTTTGTGTGAAAACACCTGATGTATGTACTAAGGGGAAAGACTAATAACTTATTTTATTAACCTGCAAGTGAATAATAGGCGAGTTAATTCACAGCACACCTCACGCATAGCTCAAAAGGACCATAGACTCAATTTACGCAAAAGACGTACAACCATTCTTTTAAGACACCTTATCTCCATAAGATAGGTTATGGATCACACAATCAAACCGACAAAAATTAACAAGCGGTGAAGTTAAGACAAACAAAGGACCTACAGTACATCTCAAACATCATCAAAATGTAGAAAAAATGAACATTTGCACTTCCAACACAAGCAAATTTTGTCAAGAAGATCACTAAACATGGACCGACTCCTGTTTAAATCTTTGGCAGAGAAAAGAACAGTTTTGGGGACATCAGAGGGTTACCATTCCTTCATTTGACTTGATATAGATCCAAGTAATAGACGCCCACGCAATTGGTATTCAAGACGAGTCAAACAATAGACAGGCAATTAAACCAGGATCGTATTACCGCATTCTTGCCAGACGCCACATTTCCAAACTGACCTACATAAAACTGCCCTTACCTCACGGGAGGTCAAGTAAATATATCAGCAGTGACGACTGTTGTAAAACGAATAATTCGGAGGCAACAGATGGCAGGTTGAAGCAGAGGCGACAGTTATCATTCATCTTAATAGCAGATATTCACCCAGGCCAGAATCCCCAAAAGCAAATGAGTAATCAACACAAACCCATATGATAGAGTTAGCTACCACAAGGTAATCAGGTCAAATTACGCAGCTAACACAACAGCGTTTAGGTAGGGCAGGAATAATTGGCACCGACTTTGAGAATGAAGTAAACGAAACTCAACACTTTCGCTGCTTTTATCCATACAACCAAGAGCCTATCCAACAAGCTTTGGCAAGGATACAGAAATAATGTTGAAATTTTGGAAATTTTGTAAGAAAGGAGTTACTAGCACTCACATTTTACCGACTGATAAGAAACGACTTCGAGGTGCATCAAAACCTCCAGGAGTTTCATCACACATAGAGCAAACACGTGGATTATCAAAATCAAAGAGGACAATAGTCCACCACAACCCTTACACTGCCGACCAGAAATACCTTCCATCTATGCTAAGCTCTAAACTAGGTGCTACCAACTATCCGAAACCAAAAGAACACACGCCACCCACGTGTGAGGCACTAAAAGTAATTGTTTTCGAGGTGAAGGGCTGAAGAAAGGTGCTAACGTCCCCTTTTGATTTCGTGCTAAGTCTACATTTCTTTGCCGAGGACGGAGAGCATACGTAGTCCAGTTTGACAATTTCTCAATGCAGCATTTTGCACAAATACTGCAAACAAATTTCTGCCGTCAAACACACTGAAAACGATCAGATTTCGCCCCCGAATGAGGCTGGGAAAGCAATCTATGCATCAACTCAGTGTTGCTTTAGCATTTACGTACCTTATGCTGTTCGAGAAATAACCTAATCATCGGTCCCGCACAGAACGGTATGGGAATTGGC